TAACTTTGTCTATTATAAATATGATAATCTCTAATTGTGTTATTTGTTTCTTATTTATATTTTCCATTTCCTATCTAAAACTTCCGGCATAAACAAGACCCCAAAAGAGCTGGACCAAACCACAAGAACCTATGCATAGTGTGTAAGAGACTATTCCCAAGTCTTAAACTTGTGGCATTTTCATCACGTGATAATAACTTTACCAGTTACTTCAAATCCGATCACTCCCTCTAAAATATCTAAATTACTCATAACATAACATCTCCAAAATGCTTTTTCTTTTGCTTTTTTTTATAAGACTAAAAATATCGAGGAAAGACAATGTGCATTCTATAGGTTTTCGTTGTTTATTATTTAGTCTTTTTGCTCCTATCTTGTTTCCGCATGGTGTAGTAAACCACCAATGTGTTTTTGTTATTACATGTGGGTAAAATCTATCTAGAAATGACATTCCTAATAACATGTCTTTTGTCGTAAATTCAAAATTGTACATTTCTTCTATTGTTAATATTTTATCCCATATTTGCATTTTTATATTTTTTGCTTTGTATTTAATCATACTTCCTTCATTATTAAATCATGTTTCTACCATAGGTGTTTTTAATTTTTCCCATTTATCTTCTGGTAGACAATTATATTTACATATATTCGCTTCTGATCATGTATCTATCATAGGGGTATAATATCTGTTGTGATATCCTTCTACAATAATTTTTGCAAGTATAAATATTTTCATTATTCATTTTGTTCTTTTTATAATTATTTTCTTATTTTGGCAAGTTATTGTTAATTGTTCATTTTCTATATTATACGGTTTAACTTTTTCTAACCATTTTACACCCAATGTAATATTATGATTTCCTTGGTATATTTTAAATGGTATTATTAAGGGTATTCTTCCTATAATTATTTCTTTTTCCGTTGTTTCTTCATTTATGTTTACTATCTCACTAGGTAATCCAGGGCATATGTGTCCTGTTTTTATAATTTCTTCTTCTAATACTAACTCTCTTGTTATGTAATTTTCTTCTTGTCTTGTATTTATCAAAATTTTATATTTTCTTTGGTCTAATATTCCTGTTATGAAATAATGATATAGTGTTATTTCTTCTCTATCTAATAAATTTTGTGGTATTTCATAGTTTCTTTTAGATGTACTCATTCTTGATGAGATAGCTCTTGTTAACGTATTTGGTACGCTTGAAGTGCTTAATCTTTCTTTAACAATTTCTAAATCTTCTTCTATGTCAATTTCTTTATAGCTATAGTCATTATTATTTATTACAGTAATTCCTTTTTCAAAAGGATTTTCTATCTTTATTTTATCAATTTTATTTCTTGTTGTTATTTTATGCTTTGTTGTCAATATATATAGGTTTTTACATCTTGTTGTAAATACTTTGTTGTCTGGTGCTAGTTCTATTTCAGACATTTTCCAATATAGAACTAATGATTTATCTATATTTCTATCTGTTAAATGCTACTGTATAATTGATGCTTATTATAAATTTAAATTTTTGATATATTAGGTTTCCTTTTACTGCACTAATTACGTTTTTTTCTATAGGGTGCATAATTTTATCATCTGCTAAATATATTTCAATAGGTGTATCTATTCCTTCTCTAAAACAAGCTTTTATTAATATTTCTGTTCCCCCTAAATGTATATATTTTATTGGTGTTTTAGCTTTTATATCTTGTATTTCTTGTTTTATTATTCGTTTACTTAGTATAGGTATATGTGATTTTCCTCTTGTATATTTGCAATCTATGATATGTTCTTTCTGACTAACTACATAGTATTTTTCTTTTTGTCTCTTAAATCAATTTCTTAAAGTAGGTATTTCAAGTAATTTTTCAACACTTAAATTTAATTCTTTTCCTTTTATTTGTTCAAATATTGTATTATCAAATATAATTTTTTGTTCTGATAATTCTTCATTTTGATAATCTTCTTTGGATATTATTTTTATATCGTCTTCAGACATTATATTTCTTCGTCTATTATATCATTATCTAGATTAATATATTCTTCTTCATTTTCTGTTTTTATGTCTGATACTTCATATATACTATCATTTTGACTTAGTTCATAGTCTATATATTCTATTTGCATATATTTGTCACTATCTATAATTATTTCTGCAAATTTGTTTCCTTTTAGGGTCTATTGGTAACTTACAATCTCTAGCTATGTGTCCAATCTTTCCGCAATTATAACATGTACATTGGGATATTTTTCTTTTTGGTCTATATGATCTTTTCATTTTATAATTTTTTACATAATATCTTTGACTTGGTTTTTTGTATTTATACATAGTTTTGATTTTTCTATAATTTTTATATTGCCTAGATTTTTTCTTTTTATAATTTTTAGTTATACATCCAAACTGTGGTGCTGTTTTATTTTTACAACTGGCTAAATTTTTGTTTAGTACTTTTTTCATTTTTCATTTTTCTTTTTGGTTTTCACATAGTTGTATGAACCATTGATGTAAAAAATTTATTCTTGCTCCTAAAGTATCTACTAATCCTTCATCATTCCAATCTTTTATTACTTTTGTACTAAATGGTTTTGGTAATTTCGTAAAATATTGTTTTCTTATTTCTTTTGCTTCATCAAAATTGTATTTTGCTTTGTAATAATATGCTTTAAATGCACAAGTGTATTCTTCTATATAACACATTTTACATATAGCTAATTTTGTCATAAGTTGCCTATTTATTGTTTTTTCTCTATTTTGTTCTCTTATATCCGTGGTCAAATGTAACGACCCGTTTAGTCGTTTCGAGCAACAGACTTCAATTCTGGAAAAACAGGCTGAGGCGACCGACCAAACGACGATCCGTCATGGGCACGACGGACCGTCGCAGGGTCTCATTTCAAAACACTTAGAAAATCTGAAATTGGGTACTAAAAATCGACTCTCTGAACTTTGTGACGGAATGGCAGGACGGACCGTCACAGGTGTGACGGACCGTCACAGACCCTTGGTGGAAATTTGGGTCTCTGAACTCTACGACGACCTGCAGGACGGACCGTCGCAGGCACGACGGCCCGTCACAGGTTGCGCAAATCCCAGGCAGAGTCGGATTTCTGGTTAAGTTTTAAGGAACGTTTTTGACTATTCTTGCCTTAATTATAAAGTTCGTGGATTTATATTAATAACTCAAATTCTTGAGGGGTTAAAAGAGGTAACCCTAAGTTAATTAGTGGGGTATTATTGCCATCTTTTATT